GTCAATTGCTAGGGGTAACATCCTTTTCTTCTTTCATTTAAACGTCTTTCTACATATTTGGTTCTAAGGAGAGAACGATAGCTCCCGCGTTTGAAACGACTAAAACAACAAAAGATAAATGAAGAGGCTGAGGAGACAAGGAGGGTAGCTGCTGACTTGCTGAGTTTGAACTTTTAACAGAGAAAGAATGAAAAAATTGTCAGGGAAATAAATGACAATAATCTATAAAAAAAAATTTATTGGACTAAACTTGGTTGATAGAATGCACACTTTTTTCTCTCTTGAACAAATACAGAATAACTTTAATTGGCAAATTCATTTGCATTGATGTTTTCAGTTGCCACTTTTTTCTCTCTTTTTCTTTAAAAACTCCAACAGCAAAGAGAGGCCACAGACTAAGGGCGGAGGATAGCTTTGAGGGAGTGACAGCAGCTCATCTTTAGAGTTCTTCCTTATCTATCCATCATCTATCAATTAGGTATTTCATTTTCTATGCACATTTTCTGTCTTAGTTACTTTGGATGAACTTGAGATACTCATCAAAATAATGAAATGTATTTGGTTCTAACAAAGATTGAGACTTGATCAATTAGTTAGTTATATTTCAATTTAATTCTTTAATGGCTTAGTATAAATTCTTCAATGTATTTTGGTATTCATTAATTTTTTTAATCGGATAAGTGTTTGAGTGAGCCACTACAAAGATAAAATGAGCTGTTGGGAGAAGATGTCAAATCTAAACCTAAATGTAGTGCTAAAATTCATAGTTTCAGCTCTAAGTTAACCTCTGGTAAGAGTATTGTAAGTCTCAACAATGCATGACTTCCATTCCAAAATGGAAGTACATGATTATAGTTAATTCTTTGCTTTAAGGGAGTATTCCATTAGAATCCCTACACCTCAATCTCCTACGGAGTATGTATTTTGATATCTCCATATACTAAATTTTTTTTTGGATATTTGGTGAGGCCCAAAAAAATATAAAATTCGAAATCTCCAGATATCATAAGTCATTCAAATGAAAGTTTTCGATATCTTTCGAATTTGGTAAAGATATCAATATACGAGTGTTTGATATGTTTCTTAACCATTAATCATTCTCTATCACCAGCTACTACTGTCACCGTCAACCACTCCGTTGTCGGTCATCCTTAAAACAAGTTTGGGCAATCGGGGGGCTGGTGCATTCGGGTCGGGCAGTGACCGGATACTGTAACGCTCTCCCACAATTTGATTCTCCAAAACTTGTAAGGGGGCGTTTGGTTCAGGGGTAAGGAAATGGGGAAAGGGAGCTGATATTTGTTTTAAAAAAAAATTCATCCCCTTTCCCTTCTAAGTTTTGGATTAGCCGTTGGAGGCTTTTCCTATTCCGTAGCTTATATCCCGGTTTCCTCTCTCATTCCCTGCGATTCCCCATTCCCATTTCTTCATCTCCAATAGCCAAGTTTCGTTTCTTCTTCCCCCGTCGCCGCCACTCACCTTCACGCCGGTAGCTGCAACTCCATCCGCCGCAGGTATGTTCTCCCCTCCCTTCCATCAAAGATCTCCCATTTTCCAAAACTTGTAAATGCTCACCTCTTAACCCTATTCTTGGCCTCCTTAGACTCTCTCTTCTCTCTCTCTCGTCTGCTATTCAACTCTCTCGCGCTTCAAGATTTCAATTTCTTCGCTATCTTCTCGGCTGCATTTGGTCTCCTACCTCTGAAACTCATCAAATTCATCGCCAATTCCTACTACTGCAATCCACTCACGGAAGGTACTCCTCCAAACTCTCGCTCTTTTGATATGTTATATGCCTTTCTTGCAAATCTCAATTTTAATTTCCGCATTCAGTGTTTTTAGATTTCCTTTCTCCTGATGTTTTCCCCCTTTCTTCTCTTGCAGGCCTGAATTATGTCCGTGCAGTTCGTTTGTTTTTTTTTGAGTATTTCGAATGTTTCATTCCAATTTCAATGGCCTGGAACTTAGATATGAAGGACATGATGAAGTAAGAAGGGTAACTAATTCGATCGGATGAATTGGATTTTTTTATCTTTCCATTTGAATTGATGAAATTGAAACACAAACTTGTTGTTAACTGTGGGGTTCCTTTTGAATCTAAAATCTCTAAAATTACCTAAGCATTGATTTGTGGAATTGATACAGAAACACTGCCGATAGGTGCTTTGTTGGATTCCAGTTGTGGTTCAAATGAAGCCACAGAGAAATCATGTCAAGAGCAAA